CAAGGTATTTGCATAACGTCTTTATTCGATAATTATTTCGAAGATAAATAAAGCGTTTTTGATGAAAGAATACAGTAACTTGCGCCAAAGTAAATATAACCGCAATGCTGACAAAGGCATCTCCACCAGGATTTCATGAATTTAATACAAATGAAGGTCGAGTGGAATTTCAGAGCACACGCTTGGCTTACTATTGCATATTTTATGGATTTCAAATTTAATAAATGTAAGGTACGTAAGTAGAAACAAAGTTAAGCTGGCATTACATAACAGAAATTACTTTTCCAAAGCCGCAAATTTTGTTCTCATTATTTGTTTTTGTGATTAACAAATAATAGTTTAATATAATAGCTTTCGCAAGCAAAATAAATTAAAATGGTTTTCTAAAACTAGAAATATTACATGGCAAAGGGTAAAAAGGCGCAAAATGTTGAAAATATCCGCAACGTCTAAGCTTGCAACTCTACTAGGATAACACGGCATATAAGCACATAAGCATAAAACCCTTTCATCTAAGAAAACGGTGATGCCAAGCATTAAGGCTTAACCTGAGAAGTTAAGCCTTAATGCATAAAAAATATATAGCTTTAGAAACAATGAAATAAAATGTCGTTTTTATGATTGATAATAGCTGATAAGCTGTATATTACATAATCGCAAAATGTAAGTAATTTTAGGGAACCCACAATATCTAGCAAATAATAATTAATGCCGTTTTCACATGCTCTGCAACATACATACTATTCTAGTGCACTTTACTGTATCACTACGCTATCAATCGTGGCTCATACATAAGTATATTCGTGTCAAGTAACGTTATGCTTATAATAAGGCTAATAAATACTCGTATATTTTAAGAATATTAGTGTTTACGTACCATTTTATAAACTAATGATTTTAAACAAAATCCTTCGTCAATATTTTTCACTAATTATAACTTTCTACGAACATTCAATTAACAAACTAATTATAATAAAATAAATACGCTTTAAAACACCATTAAACCACAACACTGTACACAATTTCGGAAAATTCACTTATAACACATTACGCACTGCAACCACAACACCACCATGGAAACGTATCCATGAAGTATTTGTCTTATTTGAACTGAAAATACGTGTACTCACAACGCTGTCTCTAACTTTTCTGAAAGCAGCCATAGCGAGCACACTCGGCGCTGTGTAGCATGGTTCGCAGTTCAGTGGGGTACACGAGTCATCACTTCTCCTTCAACGATCATTGCCGAAAGCGTTCGTTTTCAGCTTGAACGCGAGCTCAAGAAGTTTCCTGTAGTCGTTCCTAAACCCTGCTTTATCATGAAAATAAGTTCTCCTGTGTCCTGAGTTATTGTGTGGACCGGAGCGCTGTGAAACACACATGTGCACAACATTACATCAGAGGTCAATGTCCCCTTAATTTACGACCCCGATGTAAAGATTTCCCTCGCAAGAAGTGAAGGGAAGCAACCCCACAACTACGTACCTGCTATGTGTCGGAGGAGTTGTGATTTTAATAGATACTGCGGCACAGCGTGCTTAAGTTGAAAATGGTGTATTTCTTATTTAGCGCATAAATGAGTATTTTTTTCTTGCTCTGAGAGCATTTACGTCCTCGCGCCAATGTTGTAAGATATTTTTATATAACATATTTTCTATAAGATCAGTTGTAACTTGAAACTATTATTTATTTTCAGTAAATTTAAAGTTTTTTCGGTTCATTTCTTATTTTTTCTTTAAAGTCTATTAATAAATGGCTAAAATTATTCTTTCAGATAATAACAGTTTAACGTTGTTGTTACGTTTTCTTGCAAATAATATACAAAATTGAAGTTTCTACGGGTTGAGAAATATCGTCGATCAGAAATAATTTCAATGCGGCAGTATGCAAATATTATAATGCTAGTAGCAACCCGCTTGTGAAAGCATTATTATACGACGCCGTGTGAACGTCCTCTCGTTTCCCGATCGCGCCGGGTAGCCGGCCACCGGCACATTTTTCGTGGCATGTATTTTGAATCATACAGCATTTTAAACTCTTCATCTACATCAATGGACTTTTCTTTTGTGCCACGAAGTGGTCATAGAAATTCGTTTTAATGAGAGATATAATATAAAAAATAATGTACACTTAATACCTTTTAAAGTTGATTATTAATTTGAATTTTATGAATAATTTTAACATTTTAATTTGAATTGTGGACTTGAATACAGGTTCTTTGACAGGTACCTGAGTCCCATAATTTTATTTTGTTGGAAATTGTATTGGCTGTTATTAAGTTCTGAAATAACGTAATTATATTTTAACTCTTACATTAGTTTCATTTCTTTATATTCCTAATGGACGAGATTGCGGGTTCCAAACCTGGCAAGTACCTATGCGTTTTTTTTTTTCAGTTATTTGTAGTTTCTAATATTATTTAGACATCACTGGCATACGATAAAACCTGAACCTTACAAGTCCAGGTTAAAATTTTCCCGCAGATTATTATTTATTTTCGATTAAAAGTGTCTACTAGCAGCTTTCGACCAAACGCTCCTCGATTTTGTATTGTGGCATATTCATGAGCGCTCAACGGTGAAATATACTCAGTCACTCGGCGACAACAATTTTCTACTTGATGTACATCACACATGTTAACAACTTACCTACAAACTATACTCGTATTAACTTATAATAAACTAATAATAAAATAATTTAGTTATATGTTACATAATAGAGTTATATATAAAAAGTACACAGAACTAAATAAATATCTGTTGTTTAATACGGTATTGTTTAATACCATGCTTCATTGACCCACCAAATAGTAGGTTGTTTAAAAAGTATTTTATCTTTATCATCTTACTTGAAATATTATCTTACTTATATTATAAATATGAATGTTATGATGTTTGGATGTTTGTTACTTAATCACGCCAAAACGGCTGGACGGATCTGGATGAAATTTTTCACAGGTATAGGTCCCGAAATAGGGCATAAGCTACATTTTATCAACATACCACGTGGGTGAAGCCGTGGGCGGAAGCTAATTAATAATAAAGTTTGATGTCCTTAGGAATAAGTAGTGTGAAAAGGTTTGATTAATCAAACAGTTCAGAACTGATGGATGGCGACTATTGTGTATTCCGCCCACCTAGTCACGGAGCCGCGCAGTCTGTAAGTCAGCGACTTACTATTCAACTATTTTTAGAACACCTTTATACTCCTCGTAGAACAGGTAACTGTCTTTTTAGGTAAGATCGCTACATTTATTTACGTCTTATGTATATCATATATAATGCAGGACAAATTTCTTTATATTCAAAAATAAGTAATGTTTGATATTTCTATAGAAATAAGAACAAAGTTTAAGGTTGAAAATATGTTATGCTTGGGCGCTTATCTCGCGTGTATTGAGTTTACTCAGTTTGCTAAGTAAACGCTCCTTGAACAGAATAAGTCAGTAAAACATTAGGGACCGTTTCAACAACATTTAAAATATTATTTTTCAACTTTTGCAACAACAAAATATATTTTTAAATTATATTTTCTAATTTCTATTAATATATTTCTGTCACAACCATAGAATATCGAAAATTGTATTTATCCATTTTTTACAAAATAGAAATAAATTAATTTTTAACAAAAAAAAAAAACTAGAAAACACAAAATAAATTTTCTTTGTACAAAGTAATAGGTACATGTTTTCATTTAGGTAAATAAAAAATAATATTAATAACTATTTTTATAATCTTGAAGTCGGTGCCGAGTAAGTGCCAGGTGCCAAGTAAAACAATGATGATTAGTAGGTACCGATCAATACATGTTTCTAATACTACTGTTGTTGTTTGGTATGTAGCATTTACTTGGCACCGAATTTTTTTATTGTATAAGTCAGACGGATTACCTGATGGTAAGCAATCGGCGCCGCCCATGGACTCCCGTAACACCAAAGGAGTTACGAGTTCGTTGCCGGCCTTTTGGGGATAGGGGTTGCGGATATAAGGATCGGGAAGGGATATGGGAAGGGGCGGGATTGGGCCTCCCGTAACCTCACTCACACGGCGAAACAACGTTGTGGTTGTTTCACGCCGGTATTATGTGAGGCCGTGGTATCACTCGAGATCGAGCCGACCCATTCGTGCTGAAGCTTGGCTCTCCCACACTTTTATGCCGACCGACCGATGGAGATATAAAAATCAAGAAAAGAATACATACCCACTTGTAGTAACTTTTTCCGACCCAGTCATCAAAATACCTAAAAATTATATTTTCAGTCGCCAACAATTCATATTAAAATTCATTAACAATAAATACAATTCAAAAATGTTACTTAATTAATGTCAAACTACAAATTCACTTTAAGAATTTTAATTAATTTTCTACTAACAACAATAATTACTATTAACAACTTATGATAACTTTTCATCAAATGAAATAATTTACAACATTACAAAAATGACGCTTTCTTGCCATCTTGGTTTATAATCTATGCGCGTATTTTTTTTATTCATCTTTATTGCGTACCAGTAAAGTCATAATAAAAATATATTACCCATTTGATTTAATAAATTAAATTTAAAATTGTACATTAATTTAGCTTACTTTTACAAGCCTAAATAATAAATAAATTATTAAAAAATCTAATTTGTTCGATTTTAACTATAAGAAGAAAAAATTAGGAACTTAAATTCAAATAAAAAAGCAAAATACCTACCAAAAAGTATTTATTACATACTATACGCGATATCTTATCTTTGGACGAATTATGACGATTCTAAATTTAAATTAGAAATTCGTTTGTCTTTTGTATCCCTCGGTGTATTTTTCATTCTGTCAAATTGATAGAGACGAAAAATGACTTGTTTCTTTGGGTTTTATAATTGAAATGGGGGTTAACATGAATTATCTCTGCTGAATATAAATGTGGTCCGGTGGTTCAAAATTTGTGTAGTTGATACATCGAATATTTGAATAATTTAAGTAGTTGAAAGTAGGGAGGCATTTAAAGAAATCTGATGGCAGGTAAATCAGATTTACCGAAGAAGCCTAAGCGCGAAACAAGCGCATTTGTGAAAGATTTTCTAGCTGGTGGTATATCAGCTGCCGTATCTAAGACTGCTGTGGCTCCGATTGAGAGAGTTAAAATTCTTTTACAAGTTCAAGATGTCAATAAGGAAGTCAAAAAGGACAAGAAATATAAAGGTTTGTTTTATGCAATTTCTCATTTATGAAGCTCTTCTGTAACATTATTCTCATTTCATTATCTCGGATCTAAAAATTAACACAAAGTACAATAAACATGTACATATTCCTACAACAGTATAATAACTATTTTTATTTATCTATTAAACTATATCATTATCATGCTATCATATTACATCAAACTAAGATCATTCTTGCTACTTAAACGTTTAGTGATATCTAAGAAGGCACTTTTAGATTTAGGATATATCGCCATAACCTAAGACAACCAGCTGATCTAAAATTGTAAATACTGATAGCTTATCTCTCTCGCAAGATTATAAACTGAAACGTCCTGCTGTCACATATTATTTTTTTGTATATACATTGTGACCCGATCAAATAGATATCAACTGGTCGTATTTCCTACTTATGTACTTTATAGTACTTTTTTTCATTTCGGCACTAAGGATAGCCACTTACGGACGGTTCTGTGTCCATAATTAGGAATGAAATTGAGGTGTACGGAGGTGTGAGGTATGATTGTTTGTAGTTCACACCATTGTCTTAATGTTAATGTTTGTTATTGGATGGACCCGTACAGTTTGCGATCGACAAATACTCTGACGTCTCATGGTCAAAGTAAAACAATAAATGAAATGTGCTTCGTAAGCAAGTGTTCGGGTTTAGACCTAACACCAGATATGGTTAAAATTATTATAACTTCAGTTGATAATTGGCTAGTTATAAGATTATGGTTTGAAGGTTTCATTTCAATATAATTTATCGAATACGTTAATAAGCACGACTGTACACTTCGACGCTTTTAACAGGTCACAATCTCGAAAATTTAAAGTGATATTTATCATTATTAGTAATTGCTAATAGTTGTTTAAATACATAAGTATAAATTAGTAATTATTTGTCATTTACAATAAATGTATTAATGAAATTTGTCCTTTCAGGTATTATTGATGTCTTAGTCAGAGTGCCGAAAGAGCAGGGTTTTTTCTCCCTGTGGCGTGGTAATTTCGCAAATGTCCTACGATATTTTCCGACACAAGCGCTAAACTTCGCTTTTAAGGATAAATACAAGGCTCTATTCCTTACTGGCGTTAATAAAAATACCAATTTTTGGAAATATTTTGCGGGTAACCTGGCATCAGGAGGAGCCGCGGGTGCCACATCTATGTGTTTTGTGTACCCTCTAGATTTTGGACGAACCAGGTAATTAATGTTAATTTCTTGTAAAAATGTTTTTATACTTATACTACAATAAATCATAATGGTGATTGATTGGATGCAGGGATCAACCCTGGCACTTACTATTATTATTTAATTGAATTTCGCCATCAGGTAGCCCAGATGGTATATTTTTTTCGGTTTCCCTCTACTAGACCTCGGTACTTTGGTATGTTACCGCAATGCGTCGTCGGACACTGACAATCGTATTATGATATAAACTTTTATTAATAATTTACCACAGATTAGCTGCAGATGTCGGCAAAGGAAAACAAAAACGTGAGTTTAATGGACTGATTGACTGCCTCCTCAAGACGCTCAAATCAGATGGGCCTTTGGGCTGGTACCGAGGATTCATAGTGTCGGTACAGGGAATTATAATATATCGAGCAACGTACTTCGGATTCTTCGACACGGCAAAAGCATTTTTCCCTGACCCAAACAACACTCCTCTGCTTTTAACTTGGCTCATAGCTCAGGTAAAAAAAAATAATATCACAGATAATTTGTCTATACATATATGTCCACTACTGAGGAACAACCTTTTCTTACGGAGAAGGAATGATATGGAAAATATATGGAAATGGAAATATCACCACTTTTTCGAGTTGTACAAAACAGTCAAAGTCAGAAAATCCAGGTTCACGATGTTTTCAGAGAAATCTCTCTTATCTCTTATGTATAAACAACTATTTTTGATAGATTTATCAATATTTTTACATTTGTTGCAGACTGTCACAACATTTGCGGGATTTTGTTCGTATCCGCTGGATACCGTGCGGCGGCGAATGATGATGCAGTCCGGTATACCACCAGAGCAGCGTCAGTATAAGAGCACTGCTCATTGCTGGGCAGTTATATTGAAAAAGGAAGGACTTCGGGCTTTCTTCAAAGGTGCTTTCTCTAACGTACTAAGAGGCACTGGTGGAGCCTTTGTCCTTGTACTGTACGACTACATCAAGAAGTTATTGTGAACTACAGAGTGTTACAATAATGTCTTAAATTAATATCTGGGCCCGGAAAGAGTAGTTTTTATTCAGATTTTATTTATATTATTCATTTTGAATTGTATTTATGATTATTAAAACTCTGTTTATACTCGTTTGTTAAATACTACCTACTACGTACTACTTTAGGCAAGTAACATGACGGCACTTAGTTAGGGTAAAGCTTAAAAATAACAAATCGTACACAATTGGCGCCAATTGTTTATTAAACTTAAAATATAAGTACATTGCATTTGATTCATTTAATATCACACAAAAGGGCTACTCCTCTCAAAGTCCAGTGTCTTGGGTTACTATCAGTTTCAAAATCTATAGAACCCACGTATTTAGCGTCGGTTCTTTGTGGTTTCCTATAAATAGGACATTCGTATAGTCTGGGATCCTTGCCAGCTGTCGTATTAATTGCGAATATATAAATCACTGGCATCTGTTCATACAACACTTTGGGCTTCGACTCGATCAATTTCCCAGTTTTTCTGTCTAAAGATGCACCTAAAATATTAGAAAAAATATCGCAGTAATTAAAAGAACCTATTCAATATGTTCTCGTAGCGTAGCAAACTTGACAGATCCTAAGGTAGTGTCAGAATGACAGGGTGGACATATCCTCCCCCTTCTGGGCTTGAAGGTATCGTAATCGACGCGATAAATTTGACCTTTTTTGGCTGTCAGGGTTTAAGTTGAGAGTGGGAGAGCCATGCTTTCAGAATTGGTCTGCTCGACCGGAGTGTTACCAAGGCCTCGCATAAAACCAGCTTGAAACAAACACAGCGTTGATTTGCCGTGTATGGTTACGGGACGCCGCCCAATTCTTCCCTCCCCCGATCCCTTATCCCCATATAGTCATAGGGTCGGCAACGCACTCTTAACTCGTCTGTTGTTGCGGGTATCCATGGACGGCGCCGATTGCTTACCATCAGGTAAACCGTCTACTCGTTTGCCGACCTATCGCATAAAAAGCTTTGGGAATTGTTTCATGTAAATAATAATCGTTATATAAATAAATAAAAAAAGCTACAACTAAAACTCATTTCCAAAAATAGTTGGAATTGGTTCTTGACTTTAATTTACGAAAGGGGTAAATAGAACTCATAGGGGTAAATAGGCGCAGAATAGTGGTGAATGTATGCGCTCTTTGCCCACCGTACACCTCGTGAGACCACCTATACTCGGAATTTTAATTCCATTCCAGATTTGACAATTTCAGTGTTGTAACGTTATGACACGTAATAAATAGTGACGTTGCGAAATTATTCGATATGGAAATCGAATATTTCTGAATCGATTCCTCTCGTTTATACATTTACTCTCGTAAACTAAATTTATCAGGAAATAAAATATTTCTGAACCGATAATTTAGTTTTGACAATTAATTAACGATCTGAGACTTTTCTTTTGTAATTGTGTGTGAAATTAATAAAAAATGTGATCATGTAGGAACGTGACAAATAAAACAGACATTTTATAAATTGTCGCCGTCATCGCTATCGCTATCGCCGTTACTCTATGTAACATTTATTATGAATTGTGTCTTTGATATTTATTGTCAATTAACATATCTAGCTTACTCGTTTTTTCCTCTTCTTTGAAAACATGGGATACACATTTAGACCATTCGGTAGCCGTAATTTTTTGAATGCCTTCCTGAAACTGATTCACTGATTGCTTATCGATTTTTGTGTTCATCACTACACTGTCATATGTGGTATCATTATTTCACAAAATGACAGTGGTCAATGTCAAATCAGGAATCGTATTAAAAGTCTGACTATAGGTGGTTCCATTTCTTTGAATGGTTTTTTTTTAATTCAATTTCAATTTCATTTTTTTAAATTCATTCATGTTCCTTTTTCTCGCACTTTATATGTAATTTGCTTCTATGAAAATAAACAGAAGCTGTCCATGTCACAGCATTAAATAAGTTTTAATCATTAATCTCTTTGTTCTTCAGATATAGAGTTTTGATAATACGTGGACGGAGGAAATTTTATATTTCCCACGGTACACCAAGGTGAACAAGGGTGAAAAGTAGTAAAAAAAAACTTCCCACTGCACACCTATAATAGGTGGTCTCACAAGGTTTACGGTGGGCAAAGAGCGAATGTATGTTTACATACTAGGAATGTTTGCCAACATGTATTCACATGTGCAGGTATCTATATTCACCCCTCAAGTTCTATTCACCCCGTATTACGCTACATTTAAAAAGTAACATACTTAAACATAAACATAATCACAACAATAATTATAGAGCCAGGTAAAACAGGTCCCTAATGTCAATTGAATCTTTATTAATGTACCATTTTTGCAATTCAATAATTATAAAATTAGCAAATGACGAAATGGGCCTTGAATTCTCAACTTTTTAAATTTTCACATCATCGTTGTTTTGTCAAGTGACGTGTACTATTTTTGTATGTTTAGTGCTTGAATACCAACCGTTTTGAAGCATAGTTTAAAGAGAAGGGCAGTAGGCTATCTCCGGCCCCATCCGCTATATAATTGCCTACTGTCTTAGGGTTGTCACTTTTAGCAAAATTTGAGGTCGAGATTTTGTTTACATACGTGCGTCGACGCGTAGATGGCGCGACTATGGCGCACACATACAAGCCGCGTTTGTATAAAGATAACCTACTTCCCTTCTCTTTATACTAAGGTTGAAGTCTACACATATTTATGATGCTTTGATTGATGGAACCTATCAATATTATATGGTGACTTTTGTTAACCGATATTTGTTGTGTGCGTCTATTTAATTTAGTTCTCTGAATGTGTCTGTATATTTGACGCTGACTACCGTGTCTACATATAGATTTGTACCTCAAATAATAACTTTACCTTCTAAAAATAGTCCATAGACATAGACACCTTCCGCTGGTCCTTCATGTACGTCTTCTCTATTTAGTTTAGTAATGTGGTTCTGAAGAACTACAGAATCAAGAGCCCAGCCTTTATGGCTACGCGTCACCTCCTGGAAACAATAATAAACAATACTCGAGTACAATGCATAAAAATACAGCTCTTTGACATTGCTCAGACATTAAGCATCATACAGCATGAAAAGACAAGTTTCTTTTCAAGTAATGTAGTTGAGTCGTTAATGAGGAAATACATTTTATTATTACACATTTGTTACCTGTCTCATAGCTGTAAGGAAACCCTGAGGATTAAAGAATCCCGTCATCCAAAACGCTGATGGTCTTCCATTTCGGAGCCAAGTTCTGTATTGCTGTTCTCGTTCCAACAATTCCGTGTACCAGAAACCGAGTGTTGCAGACTCCCAGGACACCTACAAATGAGCATTAAGATGTAAGTTTTTATTTTTATATCTATTAAACAAGATATGTTCTAATAAAATCAGTAATGTCCATTGCTACACTTTTTATGATGGCACAGTGCAGAAAACAAGCATGTGGATCAGCTGATGGTAAGTAATGACGCGGCCGCGCGAAGCACGGCTTGATCGGACTTTTAGGGATTTGAAATTTGGAAATTGGATTGAAGTGGTACAGCACTAAAATGGCTGCTATTTACTTTTCTTTTATCTTACAATAAACTCATAACTTTTAACGAGCAATTTTTGTACAAATAGATATATTTATATTTTCAAAGGCTATATCAGAAACGGCTTCAACGTTATCGCTAAAATTTCAAATGTTAAGGATTTCGGGGTCAAGAAATTAACCTAGGCAGGCTACATTTTCAGAAAAAAGTCTATTTTTATGTATGTACTTAATATGATATAAAAACATTATTGTTATAATAATATTTCTTACAGTAGAAGCCACTGTAAGCCGTACAAGTAACCGAAGCTAACTCGCTAAAGAGTCTCTCTTTGAACTACTTTAATATTAGGCTGTATAGTAGGAAATTATATGTTAAGAGTGTGGATGGATATGGATTGGCATAAAAGATAACTAAGGAAATACCCCTCCCCTGACCAATAATGATACAAACGTATAAACAGGCAGAGCTGACTGGTAAACTCAATTAGTGGGCCTCAGAAACTGACGCTAGCATATAGCGACACGGGGTTACGCCATGGCTATCAATGCAATCACAGAAATGTGGTTGACCGTATCCCTAGCAACATCATACATCCTTCCCCTGAGTGTCCTTCAACTCTTGCGAATCTCAAGCCAGCCCGTCTTGAATGGAGATTAAGGCAATAATGAATTCCCTCAAGCTAGTCGTTCCAGCTAACCGTAGATGAAGTTATTGACGACGGCAATTTTAAACAGGTTTTCGGTATATCATGTACACTTACTGATATAATAATAATGACGTGCTAATTACACTCACCTTAAGCCACTTTTGTGGAATGCGAGCATCATACATAGCATCTAAAGATTCTCTTAACCCTTGACTCATTACGATGGTACCATCAATAGCTAACTTCAAATCACATAGTGTTGAACTGACTGTCTTTACAACTTTTTGTATTCTGTCGATTTCTTGCCTGTAAGTTTTAAATTGGTTTATTATGTTTCTATTTGGTTAGGTTTTTAGGATTATAAGTTAGTTAGATAGATATGTAAAAAGTTAAATATACCTCAAAAAAATGTTCATAGGGAGAAACGCGCCCATCTTTTGAAGTGCTTCCCTAACTTCAAAGCTTACATATTGTTTTGGTAACTTTTCTAACATATCTTCAGCCAGACGGTACACGATACTTTCTCTAGTCTCTCCGCCTTGACTCCCTCCCTCTTTTGGCTGTACGCTCAAGATAGTGTCCAGAATATCCTTAGCACTATTTATCTGATAGGTGATGTCAGCATTTCCATGCAGACCAAATACTTCAGGTGTGTCAGTAAGGGGCAGCTGATTGATATAATCTACATAACCTTGAATATTTCTTGTTGTAGGTACTTTATAACCTTTGTAAAACTCGAAACCGGGGCGTAACAAAACATCACAAAACCATACGTTGGTGAACGTAGTTAATAAGCGTTTATCGAAGTCGTCAGTAACTCGACCACCATACATGACCTCTCCAAGCATGTAGCATATTGTGGGCCATGATATACCCTTTTTGGGATCAATTTCATCTAAATGGTTTTGGACAAATTGAACACTGGAAGCATAATCAGATTGATTGAATTCGTATGGAATATTCCAGCCCAAAGGACCGAACTTTCTTCTTTCTTGTACAATAGTGTGTAAAAAGGCTACAGCATAAAGAAGAGGTGGCCACTGTGGCAATGAAGAATAGTCTAGAGAATCTTGTGTTATATTTTGATATGTCCTTTTCATACTAGCTCTGATCCCCTGTGGTGGTTCGTTTGTAAACTTTATTGCCATTTGTAATAAACCAATCGGAAATTCAGTGTGAACTTCTGTAGTAAGCCACAGTCTAAACGATTCTTGAATATGCTCAGTTTCAATAAGAGCATCCATAGCTTCAACACAGAATGGAAGTGAAAGGTGAATGTTTTGTAGAAGTACCCAACCGCCTTCGTTCATTGAATCTGAGATCATTTGCCTGGCCACTATTTCTTGACCTTGTCCCATGGATACAGATTTCAATACTGTAGAAAACACATACACATTTTACAATACAATACTTTATAGAAGACAATATTTATTTTGTTTACTGACGTACCGATTTCCTTAGCTTTTGCTAGTGCTGCTATTTGTGCTGATGGGTCAGATCCTATAGACAATATGCATATGAGTGGTGTTCGAGGTTCTGATTCCTCCCAAGTCGTTTCTAAGTTAAGAATACATCCTTCACCATATTCGGGTCCCAGCGAATCTTAAAAGATAGTGTGATTGAAGAAAGAATAATTTAATAATATCAAGTAAGTACCTAAAGGTTGTCATACTAAACTTACCAACAATATACTTTCTTGCTTGAGATAAGGTTCTATCAGGACTCCAAGACCTAATAAGTAATAGTTTCCTGAATACATCAAGACTTTCTTGGTAACCACTAGGGAAAGGTTCTTCTTCAGGCTTAGCCTTTTCATACCACACTCGCCACTCTTTCTCGTTGGACGTTATCTAAACACATTATTATCAAAATTAATAAAGATTTTTCTGCAGGAAAGACAAACTCTCAAACTGTATTGGTACTTACCCTAGTGAGAACATCGTTAAAAGTTTTTAATTTACTAATTTCAACAAGATTCAACCAAGTGATATCAAGGATCCACCTGAAAGGTTTAGGAGTGACAGCGTTTAAATCTAACGATGCACCGCCTTTAATGAATGCCATAAACTCATCATGTGATATCAATCCACGTTGACAATCAATTTTCATCCCCAACATTAAAGTAAATAATGCCTTATGTCTTTCGTATAAACTGCGCAGTGTAAACGCCCATACTTCGTGCGTCAAGTATTTGAGTATAATGTTTATTCGTTCTTCAGTAACATTACTTTTCGTAGACTTAGTAATAGAGTTGTCAAATATGTTTAAAAATTGTTTTAGTGAATTCTGGTACATAAGATTTACATTACTCATTTCAACAATCAAAAAGTAAAGGATAGACCCTCTGGCTGCTACCGCTCTAAACTCTTCTCGAGCTTTAACAATTTTTTTCTCTGTTACTTCTGCTACTTTTAGTTTCTCATTTACTTCTTCGGCTGTAGTCTTAGTAATTTGTAATACCTGAATCAAAGCTTCATCATCCACTAACGAACCTTCAGATGATGTTAATCGACAAAGTAAATTACTTTCTAATTCTTTCATACTCCTTTGATTTTTCATAACAGACTCAAATAGGGCAACTCTTTCTTCTTCTAAATCGGACTTTTCCATTAATATTACTCTGCCGAGCAGCTGATCTTCTAAACCTCGCATAGTTACAGTGAAATCAATAATAGATGTCTTGGCACTAATTTCTGGTGAATAAGCAGGATTAGGAAGTTTTGTCGTTATGTACAACATAAATCCTGGCATTACGTCACATTCTTTGTCACCTACGATAACTTTTTCAATTGAACCTGATTTAATAAAATTCTTTTCTAGAACATTATCGATAACTGGATCCAATTCTACTGCGACGTCTTCTATCAAAAGAGGTCGCCCAAGAGATAAACTATCTTCCAGATGAGTTCTAAAGTATTTGTGATTCAGAGATGTAATCTGAAGTTCATTCGAACTTTCTTTGTTTTTAATCCAGTTTTTGCCTTGACTTTGAGGATCAACTAATAGTGGATATGAACTCGATTTAGTAACAATTAAAGCATTTTGAACTGACAATTCATCATTTGGTAGACCTTGTAGAGTCCATTCCGATATAGTAGCGCTTTCTACTAACATATTGGTTATATTTAAATCATGAGTGACCGGTATTTGTTTACTAGTTAGTATTCCCATCCATGTACCAAGTAAACTATTTCTGAACTCCTGGTTGTACGGGCCACAATACGATAAAAATCCTGTTGCCAAAACCACGTCACCCACGAGACGACCAAGTTGTTCCTTAAAATCTTTACTTTGTTGTGTCCATCTTATTTTTTCACCTCCTAAACCATTAATGAGAGCTGTAGCAGCTGTCATTTTTCTTAAGCATACATTGGCTGCATCTGTTAATTGTTGTTTCTCAGAAACTGCCGATTCATATTGCTCTTTAACTTTTCTCAGAGACATTTCTCGTTCTTCCAATTGTCTTTCAGCAGATGCTAAGTCATCCATGGCCACCTATAAAATAAAAATTAAAAGTTTATCATTAAGCTAATTTATTTCAAAATGGCATAACCATAATACTAAATTACTTGCCTTTAACCTAGCTTCTTGCAACAATAGATTAGCTTTCAAGGGTAAAACTTCCTTATTTACGCTATGGAAGAAAGCCATAGCTTTAGTCCATGATAATAAACCAGCAACATCACCGCAAACTCGCTTTGCTGTGTCCATATTGTAATCTTCCATTTCAAAATAAGGAGTCAAGTGTTCCACCATTTCATTATTTATAATATCTTTAGGGTAGTTTTGCAGTTGTAATAGAAATGTAGTACTGGCCATCATCTGAAAGCAACGTTAAAATAATTATGAGTATGCAATTTTTTAAATCACTATATTATTATGATTTATTTTATTATTGTACTTCACCTTTAGAGATTCAGCCCAAGACGGTTTAGGGCAAGGTGCAGCAGTGTCAGATATAACCGGATGTAGTCTTCGTTGAAATAAAATAAGTACACAGTCCATAATTCTCATAATAAGATGTGGGGGCCTGCCCAACTTTCGGACTGTAGCTATATGGGCCGGTTTAATTGTATTCAAAGCAGCTTCAGCTTCTTCCAAAGCCGGTTTAGCAGCTTCTAACTTTATTTCAGCTTTTTCTTTTTCCTCAGCAATATACGCAACCAATGCTTCTGCTTTTTCTTTTACAATTTGCACTTGATTTTTCACAATTTCAGCTTGCATTGCTCGGTCTGTAACTTCAGCCAATACACGACCTGCTTTTTCTGATGCTAAAGCTAAATCTTGCTCCATTACAGCCAAATCTTTTTTCAGAACTTCCACTGATATAGACGCTTCTCGTAGTTTTTCTAACCCAGTGTCCATTCTCAAAGCACCATCTCCTAGTTCTTTTTGCTTCATTTGATAAATTGTTTTATAGCCTCCGATAAAATTGAGGTATGATTTTGGTGTGACATGAGAAGAACGTCTAAATCTTTGATAATATTCTACAGACACTTGGGACACTACATCTTGTATTGTCCCCAAAACAGTTACTAGTTCTTTTTTAACTTCTTTTGTACACTCGATTTCAAATTCTGCTAAAAAGTGATCAGCAACCGAGACCAATGCGTCTTTTGGCCAAGGTTGAAACCAATCAATTGTACATCCAGAAATGAGAGCAGGAAAACGCATAGCGCGATATCTGAATGCTTCGCTGACCTGAAAATTATAATAATCGAAACATTAATAACAATACAGTAAAATCATTGAAAACGTGTAGTTGGGACAAGCTATATGTACAGATATAATTTTGTGTAAACGTTTGCTCGAAAGTAATGTACGCAGCTTGAAAGCTAGTCACGTTCTAAGAGTGCAAGACTCAACGCGACCTATATATCTAGAGATGCTTTGGCAGGTAAGGTTCGGAGGTAAACAAATAAAATGACGTATATTTCCACTTACCGGTGAAAAACACAACACAACGTGAAGATTTTGGCAAGTTCTGTTCAAAAAATATTCCATTACAAGTTCATTAGTTAAAGTTCTTTTCTGATTTTCACGTTTCATAATGGGGGTTAACTCAGAAATAATTTCTTGTTGCTCGTCTTTTGTAAAAAGATTAGATATTACACCAGACGAAAGAATGTTATTCAAATATTCCAAAAATCCTTCCTCTTTAATATCTAAATCTGTGAATATGAATGTTGTGCCTTTTCCTTGAACACCACATGATCTATAAAGTAACTTCAGATCTTCTAGAAAGTTGCTAACGTTATAAGACCTGGTCAATGCTATTTGAAATGAACGATATCCAGCTATGAATGTAGATAGCTTGGTAAGAGATTGCTTTCCAGAGCCACCGACGCCTACGAGCATTACATTTCCTCTTGGGTGCCTTATAACTCGAGATATTTTTACTAAATGAAGCATAGCATCAGGGAAAAATACTAGATCCATGCCGGAACCTCGCACCATTTCATTGAATTGCGCGAGAAACATGTCCAAGCGTTCGCGAAGCTCAGCATAGTCAAACACTGGCTCGTATACTTTAGGCAACTCCATATCGGTATCTTCACCTTCTTCACCGGTTGGTTCAGGAGCGTCTCTGTAATGAGAAAAAAAAATGCATTAATTGCGAAATATTATTTTAAAAGTTTCATTTATTTATGCTTGAACGACAAATACACAGTATTTTAAAAAACTTGTCTAAATATTCCTTTTGGAATCGTTTCTCACAGTCCATTTTTGTTTATCAGCACTAAAATTAAAAAATTGAATATTAAATATGTACTTTGTTATAATACAACAATACAAAGAAATAATATTGTTGTTTAATATATAAATAGTTTTA